GTTTGATACTTCTCATCGGTGACCAGTATCTTCAGCGAGTACCTGTCAATGAACTCCCTGTCAAGCGGCTTGTTCACGTAGACGTCACCGTTGGAGGCGACGGAAAACTGATTGAGGTAGTCGCCGTCGGTGATGTAGTACCGCAGGTCAGAGTTCAGGTCAGGGTCGCTTGCCTCGATGGTGACGACGACGGTGCCGAGAAGGCTGTTCTCGAAGATGGCCGCCAGGTAGTTGGACTTCTGCACCACTGGGGCGTTGTCATTGACGTCCACCACGTCGAGGTGCAGTGTGGTGGAGTTGCTGTGCTGACCATCGGTGACCACGATTTTAATGGCGTACGAGGGCACCCGTTCTCTGTCCAGCTCCTTGGCCAGGACGATCCAGCCGGAGTTTTCGTCAATGCTGAAGGTGCCCGCCGCCGCCTCCTCCTTCTCATCGTCGCCCTCCAGACTGTACTTGAGGGCGTTGTTCAGCACGTCAATGTCGGCGTCGATGGCGTTCACCTTGAAGATGGAGGAGCCGGTCTCCTGGTTCTCCGCCAGTGACAGGTAGTAGGAGGCGGAATCGAAGTACGGTGTACAATCGTTCTCATCCATGATGTTGATGATCACGTAGAGGTACTCCACGGCAAAGGTCAGCTTGTCTTTCAGCAGAATGGCCAGAATGTGCTTTGCCTTCTGCTCTCGGTCCAGTGGCTCGTTCAGTGAGATGCGGCCGTATTTGTCGATGCGGAATCGACCTGCATCCTTGGCGTCGTCCAGGCCAACGATGCTCAGGTCGACGTCTTTGTAGCCCTCGAGGTTGATGTTTACCAGCACTGAGCCGCGTTCAACATTCTCCTTGACGAAGACTTCAAACAGAAAGGCCTCTTTTTTTGCCATTGAGCACTGACTGATCACCTGAATGGTCACCGGGACGACGTTTTCAATGACGTTCTTGAGTGCGCCCGTGTTCACCAGGTTGAGGTTGGTCACCTTCACAAAGAACTGCACCATCTTCCCCTCCAGTGCACTCAAGTTGGCCTTTGTGTAGACGTACCCTGTATCGGCTGAGATCTCAAAGTAGTCGGTGATCACCGCAGTTGAGCTGTCATTTGATGGCTGCATCGTCGTGGCCGTTTTTGCAATAGCAGTGGTAGTGGAGGACTTATCCTCGTAAATAGAGTACTTGATCTGATTCTCCACATCCTCATCGTCGTCCACCGCCATCACCGAAAGGATGGTCGATCCAACCGAGGCATTGGAGCACACCGTGGACCGGTACTCCTTGACCATAAAGCGCGGCATGTTGTCATTGAGATCGGTGAGGGCGACTCGCAGCGCCGACACGCCCAGCCGCCGTCCCTTGTCCTGCGCCCCCAAAACTAGCCAGAAAAACTTGTCATCCCGTTCGTAGTCCAACTTGGAGCGCATCGTTATCCGCCCGGTGGACGGCTCAATGGCAAAGTACTTTCGCGCGTACTCATTCAGAATGGAGTACTCCACGACGCCGTACTGCTCAGAGTCGTCGCGGTCAGTGGCGTTGATGGCGAAGATCTGCTCGCCCACGGAGACGCCCTCGCTGACGGCCACATTGTGGAGGACTCGGCTGAAGCGAGGCGAGTGGTGATTGGCCGGTTTCACCTCAATGAAGTACAGCTGCGTGGTGGAGTAGAGGCCGTCGGAGACGGACACATTGAGGCTGTAGTGCCGCTTAGTGGCCTGACGACTGCGCAGGTGCTCCTCGTGCAGCACCGAGCGGTGGCTGCGCAGGAAGGGCAGCGCACGGGTGCTCTTCAGGTTGCGCACGTAGAGGGCCCCAGAGGTTTCGTTGATGACAAAGGCCATGTTGCTGCTGCCGGAGACGATGTGGTAGCTGAGGCTGCTGCGGTCGGACCAGTCGAGGTCGGTGGCGGTGATGCGCGTCACAAACTCCCCCTTCTCAATGTCCTCGTCGATGGCGGTGGTGAAGGTGGGCGCTAGCGTGGGCGGATTGTCGTTGATGTCAACCACCTCGATCCACACCTGAGCGGTGGAGGTGAGCCGGGGGGAGCCGTAGTCGGTGGCCATGACGGTGAAGTGGTGGCTGGCCTCTGTTTCGTAGTCGAGCGGCGTCTTCAGCGAGATGACGCCGTCATCGGGCGACATGTAGAACTGCGCCGTCTTGTTGCTGTCCACAATGTGGTACTGCAGCTTGGCGTTCAGGCTGGCGTCGGCGTCGCTGGCCACCACCTTCAGCAGCTGTGAGCCGACGGGAAAGTTTTCTGGCACGGAGACGTTGTAGGAGAACCGGTGGAACATCGGGTGGTTGTCGTTGGTGTCCTCAACTGAAAACAAAGTGGAACAAATGTCAGATGTAAAGTTAAACTTGTTTACAAATGTTTCAAATGTACTTACCTTCAATAAAGAGACTGGTAGTTGAGGATGCACCGGACACTGAGTCGGTGGCAGAGACTGTCAAGGTGTAGCGACTGGTGGTCTCGCGATCCAGTTTCTCAGCAATGCTCACCATGCCTGTGTAAAGTTAAAATAATGATGAAGATGTTTAGGATCATTGGAGGTAATCAATCTTTGAGCATGACAAAAGGGGGATGCAGAGATTGACAAAAAAATGAGTACTCACACAGAGTATTGGTTAGCGAATTGGAGTCTAGTGAGTAGTGGTAGTAGTAGTAGTAGTAGTAAATAGAAGAAACAACAGACCGGGTAAACAAAAGAAGACAGAGGACAGATAGAAAAAGAGAGAGATCAGATTTACAGTTAGATGACACCGGAAAAGGGTAGAACCAAGAAAAAATGAGTGATTGTTAAGCAAAAGTTTAAAGTTAATGTAAAAGGTTAGCGTTTAAATCACTACAAAAAGGTAAAATTGCAACCTCTTTTTGTCGTCACTTACCGGTACTGAAGTCCAGCGCAAACTCCTCATTCTCATTTCCCTGCTCAATGTTGTAGAACATCTGCCGCCCACTGGGACTCTCCGCCTTGATGGTGACAAAGGGCACCATGGCGGCGTGAGCCTCACTGACGGTGACATTGTAGCCAGTGGCCGAGCTGAAGACGGGCACGCCACCGGAAACCATTCGCAGGGTGACATTGGTGATTGATTGCTGCGCCGGCTCGCCGCTGTCTCGCGCCATCACCACCAAGGTGTGCTCGGCCACCTGATCAAGACTGCTGATCTCTGAATCAATAGCTCGAGCCAGGCTGAGCTGGCCAGTTTTGCTGTTGATGGCGAAAAGGCCGGCGGGGTCGCCGGAGACGATGGAGTAGCCCACCTGACCGTTCATGCCCACGTCGTTGTCCACTGCCTGCACCCTGCTGATCGGCGTGCCCTTCTCCGCGTCGGCGTTGAAGACAAAGCGGTAGGGAAGGCCGACGAAACGGGGCACATTGTCGTTGATGTCCTCCACCTTCACCTCGACCATCGTGTGGGCGGCTCGGTCCTTCAGCGAGATGGAGGTCACCTCGATGGCCAGCTCAAACTTGGCCACCCGTTCCCGGTCCACCGGTGGGCCGCGGAAGAGGATCGCCCCCGAGGTGCGGGCAATGCGAAAGTGCTCCGTGGGGTTCATGATGCGAAATAGTAGGTGTTCGTGAAGTTTGTTTCCCTCAATGCCCGGCATGACTACCGTCTTGATGAGCGAGCTGTTCTCGGTGATGGTTCCATAGTAGCGGTCGCGGCGAAATCGCAGTGAACTCCTCGGCAGCGGCTTTGCGTGCACAAACACTTTTGCCGTGGAGGTGTGCTTCCCATCGAAGGCGGTTACCTCGAAGGTGTAAATGGCCGCCTCAAATTGGTCAGTGGCAGTGGTAATCTGTCCACTGGTGCTGTTGATGGCAAAGTGGCGGCCTTGTGGCGAGGCTTCGCTGATGTTGTAGTGCAGCAGGTGCGGCTCGCCGCTGTTCTCCGGCCGCAGGTCGCAGTCGTTGGCCGCCACACTGGTCAGAATGACGTTCTGGTAGGTGGGCAGGAGGAGGCTGGCGTAGTACTTGTTCAGCGTGAACACCGGCGGACAGTCGTTGACGGGCAGCAGGCGGACGCGCACCAGGGCACTGCTGACCGCCTTCAAACTGGGCAGCCCGTGGTCGGCCACCGCCACCGAGAAGGTGAACTCCTGCACCTTCTCAAAGTCGAGCCGCTGAATGAGCGACACGGCGCCGGTGCGCGGCTCAACTGAAAAGTACCTCCGCGCATTTTCCTCCACGATCGAGTAGGCGAGCAGGGCGTTGTGCATCGAATCGTTGTCGTAGGCGCGCACCACCAGGGCGGCGCCCTCCTCCGTGAGGACGATACTGTTGACGGGCATCGTCTCGTAGAGCTGCCCCTCGAAGACGGCCTCCCGCCAGTAGGGGGCGTTGTCGTTGACGTCCAGGACGCTGACGAAGATCTTCGCCCGGTCCTTGACGCCGAAGAGCGACGCCGCCGACACCGTCAGCGTGTAGTTGTGCCGGCGCTCGTAGTCAAGGCCCTTTCGCAGGTACACCTCGCCGTTGTTGACGTTGATGGCAAAGGCGCCGTCCTCGTTGCCGCCCACAATCTCAAAAAAGGTTGTCAGCCGGCTGACCATCCTCATCGAGAGAATCACCGTGCCCACCTTCTCGTCCTCTCGGGCGTCCACGAAGTAGTTGTCCTGCTCAAACTTGGGCGGTGAGTTGTCCGGTACGGCGACGAGGACGTGCACATTGGCGGTGCTGCTCAACGAGGGCACGCCGTTGTCGGTGGCCCGCACCAGCAGGTAGTATTCCGGCTGCTCCCGGAAGCTGATCGTCTTTGTCAGGTAGATGTACCCTAGGGTTGGCTCGATGCCGAAGACTGAATCGAGGTTTCCCGTGGCGATGGAGTAGTTGATGGCGGCATTTGAGCCGTAGTCGCCGTCAAAGGCCTGCACCTGCAGCACCGAGGTGCCCACCGAGGAGGACTCGAGAACGGTCGCCTCGTAGGTGGGCAGTATGAACTGGGGCGCCTGGTCGTTGACGTCGAGAATGTTGATGGTGACCTTGGTGAAGGTGCGCAGGTGATAGGAGGAGGCGTGCTTTCGGGAGCTGCGTGCCTCGATCAGCAGCACGTGCACCTTTCCGGACTCGAAGTCGAGGGCGCTCTTCACCTTCAGCTTCCCCGACCAGGACTCAACTTCGAACTTGGCCATCGTCTCCGGCGCGGCCGTCGAGTAGATGCTGAAGATCAGATTCGCCGAGTGCTGGAGCTCGTTTTCCAGGTTCACATTGAGGTGGAGGATGTCACTGCCGATGGTGATGTTCTCCAGGACGTTGACGGTGTAGTTGGCCTGCGTGAAGGGCGTCACACTGTCCAGGTCGCTGTGGACGGTGATCAGCAGCGGCAGAGAGGAGTTGTCGACGCCGTCGGTGACCATCAGCGTGAGGTTGTAGAACTGAATCGTGGTGGGTCGGCTCTTCAGCGACTTGGCCACCACCAGGGCGCCGGTGTCGAGGAAGGCGAAGGTGTTGTCGACGTTGCCGGCGGTGATGTAGGTGCACAGCTTGTCGAAGTCGTCGTCCAGCGTCTTGATGAAGGCCACCTCGGTGCCGACGGGGTCGTCGCGGTTTACCGAGACCACTGAATCAGTGGGCTCGATGATCGGCCTGCTGTTGGGCATGTCCGGCGGCTTGATGGTGATGGCCAGCACGCGGATGATGACGTGCACAGTGGAGGAGAGCGCCGGCTGGCCGCAGTCGCTAATCTTCACGATAAAGTCGTAGCTGCCCTTGGGAATGCTGGCCGAGGTAGGGTAGAAGATGCCGCTGCTGTTTTCCAGGCGAAAGTACTTTGCATCGCCGCCCTCCACTAGCTCGTAGGTGAGCGAGCAGAAGCTGTCCAGATCACGGTCAGAGGCGATGATCTGACAGACGGGCATGGAAGTGTTCACGCGACTGTAGGTATAGCAGCGGTAGGTGTGCAGGCTCGACTTAGGTTCAAACTCGTTCACGTCGAGGACATCGACAATGACCGGTGTTCGAGAGATGAGAAATCGATGAGGCTGCTGTTGTTGTTGTTGTTGTTGCTGGTCACTCTGTCGTTTGCTGACTTGTTTAGCTGTTTCGGCTGTTGTTGTGGTTGAGGCTGCTGTATCACCAGCATCATCACCAGCAATGGCCTCTATCACCTCAACGTCTATCACATAGCGGGCGACGCTCTCCCTGTCAAGCTCGGCAGTTGACCTGATGACGCCCTGGGCGTCCACCTCAAAGGGCACTTGGTTGCTGATGCGGTACTGAAAGTGACTACTACTAGTGCTGCCACCACTGCCACCTTCAGCAGCTGATTTGGCCGCTGATAAATCCTGATCGTGAGCAGTCAGCTGCACGATGACACTGCCAATGGTGAGATTCTCGTAGACGGCCGCCTGGTAGAGCGACTGGTCGGTGATGGCCGGCATGTCATTGACGTCCTCCACGGCGATGTACAGCTCCAGACGGGCGGTCAGCGGGACAGCTGCTCGGTCTTTCGCAATGACGGTCAGCCAAAAGTGAGAGGCACTCTCGGCGTCAAGAACTGCAGCGGTCAGTACCACGCCGGAAGAGTCGATGGTAAAACGACCAAGGCCGCTGCCGCCGATGATCTGGTAAATCAGCGGCAGTGACGGATCGTCCTCATCAGTGGCCGCCACCTTGGTGACCACAGTTCCGACCGGGCGGTTCTCCTTCACCGAGGCGGTCGCGTAGAAGTCGGCAAACTTCGGCGCATGGTAGTTCTCATTGACGTCCTCCACCTCGACGAGCAGGTAGGTAGTGCTCGACAGAGGCGGCTTTCCCTCGTCGGTGGCGATGATGGACAGGTTGTAGAGCTGGTTGCGCTCATAGTCCAGCGCCTTCACCACGCGAATGTTGCCCGTCGTCTCGTCGACCTTGAAGGTTGCACCACCACCACCATCAGCAGAAGCAGTGCCGCTGTCGCCCAGTGAGTATCGGATTTCCGCCGCCTCGCGTTCGTCTCGGTCAAATGCGGAGATTCGCGTCAGTCGAGTGCCCACCGGAATGTCTTCGCGCACCTTGAGAAAGTACGACTTTTGAAAGAACTCCGGTGCATTGTCGTTCACATCTAACAGTGGCGGGTGAATAAAGGAGAATAATAGAGATGTTTAGCACAGTGAACATGTATAATAGAGCATTTAATGCTGCTGCCGCAACTTACCATTGACAAAGACCGTCACAGTTGAAGAGGCAGAGAGCGCCGGGGTTCCTGAATCGGTGACAGTAACGTACAGCGTGTACTTGGCCACCGTCTCTCGGTCAAGTGGCCTTTCCAGGCGAAGTGTTCCGTTGAATAGATCAATTGAAAAGTGGTCCGCTGCGGAGTCAATGAAGTATTCCAGAGCGGCATTGTCGCCGGAATCATCGTCGAATGCAAAAATTTGCCCGACAATGGTGTGTGGAGCGGCCGCCTCTGAGATGTTGAAGGTAAAGTGCTCCACTTTGGGTGCATTGTCATTGACATCCTCCACGGTAACTTTCACCTTCTCCTCAGCGCACCTTTGATTCAGCAGACTCTGATCACAGACGGTCACCTGAAGGTGTATTTCCTTCTGCGTTTCGTAGTCAAGCTCAGAGATGAGCGTCAGCTCTCCCGTGGTGCTGTTAATCTCAAAGTACACCCTTCGGCTGGAGTCGGCAAGGTTGTCCAGCTGATGGAGGTTCAGCGACCAGATGAGGAGACCCTCAAAGCCGGCGTCGCTGTCGTTGGCCGCAAAGGTGGCGATCTTGCTGCCGATGACGGTGCTCTCCGGAATGCTGATATCAGTGAGCGTTTGAGTGAAAACGGGCGCCTCATTGGCGTACTGAGCCGTTTGCATGGCGTTGATTGCCTCCTTCTCCTCAAATGAAAGCAGCTTTACGCTGTCTTTTAGCGATGTGGTGGTGGTGGTGGTGGTCAGACGGGCACGGTGTTCAGTGCACTCCACGCGAATGTTTCGCCTGTCTCTGCTGTCTCTGCCTAACAACGGCGCCATGTTGGCCCCTGCGGCAGAGCTGTCCGCCCCCACAATGACCACGTTGAGGTAGTTTGGATCGGAGAAGTAGTTGCCATCAGTGGCGGAGACTGAAATGGTCCAGGCGGGCTGCTGCTGCTGCTGGTTCAGCTTTCCGGCGCCGTTTCGGGCCAGCTCCTTCTTCAGGTTGCAGATCAACTCCACCGTTCCCGACTGCTCGTTAATCGTAAAGCACCGGTCTGCCTCGGGGGTGAACATGCGGTAGCGAATAGAGCTGCCGCGGTCCAGGTCCACCGCCGTGAAGGTCATAATCTCGGTGAAGGCCCTGGTGGTGAGAGGCACATAGGCGGTGCAGTTGGTCTTCTCAAACTGCGGCCGGTGGTCGTTGACGTCCTCCACGGTGACGTTCAGCAGCATCTGCGATTGGCGGCGAAAGGGCTCGCCCCAGTCTGAGGCTCGCACAAAGAGGTGGTAGCTGCGCGGCGGCGCCTCAAAGTCGAGCCCCCTGATCAGGCTGATCTCCCCGGTGGAGTGGTCGATGGCGAAGGGCAGCTCCTCGGTGCCGTAGTGCAGCAGCTCGTAGCTGAGCTGGCCATTTGGGCCGGCGTCGGCGTCGGTGGCCGCCGCTCGGTAGACGGCGCTGCCGTTCGGTTGATTCTCCGCCACCGACAGCTGGACGATGGCGTCCGAAGAGAAGGAAATGTTCCTGCTGCTGGTGAAAGTCGGGTAATGGTCGTTCTCGTCGGCCACCTCGATGTGCACCATGGTGGTGGCGATGCGATTCAGCTCGTGCCGCGCCTGCACCACCAGCGTGTACCTCGGCTGGGTCTCACGGTCCAGGCGGAGGCGGTTGTAGATCACGCCGTTGCGGCTGATGCCAAAGGCGTTCTGCTCATTGCCCCGGATTATGCTAAAGTGAAACTGATCACAGTGTTTGGCGGTCACGTTCATCGATTGGGGGGCAGCTGCTGCTGAAGAGGCAAGAGAAGAAGAGAAGGGGGCCCTAGGTCCTCGACCTGAGTGCTGCTGAAAGTGGCCCTCCCCCGGTTGAAGGTGCTTCAAGTCGAGCTGAAGGACGGCAGTGCCGGGCAGGACGCTTTCCGACACCTCTCGGTAGTAGTTGTCCAGCGTGAAGGCAAAGCCTATGCTGAGCTGACTCTCCGCCAGAATGGTCATACTTTGGTTGGCGCTCTGGCCGCCGCAATCGGTCGCCCGGAGGAGCAGTTTGATGGGCAGCGATCGAAGAAGACTTCCGGAGAGTTCCGAAACAGAGCGCGTCAGCTCGATGTTGTAGTCGCGACTGGAGGTGGTGTTGCTCACCGCAAAGAGGCCCTCTCGGTTGCCGGCCACTATCCGAAAGTCGCAGATCTCCCCGTAGACGCCCATGTCCTGGTCGGTGACGTGCACCACGGCGTAGATGGGCCGTCGAGAGCCGGTGGCGGCACTTGTGAAGCTGGTGGCCAGCGTGCTGTGCTGCTTGATGGAAATCTTCGGCCGGTGACTGTTCACCGGGGTGATGCGAATGTTCACCTTCGCCTTGGAGGACTCGATGATCTGCGAGGAGGCGCTGTGGTAGCCGCGGTCTTTGGCAATCACCGTCAGGTGGATGGTGTGCTCCTGGACGACCACTGACTCTCGGTGTGACCGGTGGCTGTGATGACCGTGGTGTTGGTCGCTGTTCACTGTTGCTTTTAGCAGTTTTTGCAGCGTCAGCGGCCGAGTGGTGTAGATGATGCCCTGCGTCGGGTGGATGGCGAAGAGGTCAGTCGGCTCGGCGAGGCTGTAGTAGATCTCGCCGTTGCGGCCAATGTCCGGGTCGTCGGCGGTGACGCGCACCACCGAGTGATCCAAAGGCACGTCCTCCGGCACCGAGACGTCGTAGTTCTCTGAAAAGATGGGCGAGATGTCGTTGCGGTCCTCCACCGTGACGAAGACGGTGCACTTTGCCTTGAAACGGAAAGCGTCGTTTCGGTTTGAGGTGATAGTGGCCCGGACGCGCAGCTCATAGGCGGCCATGTACTCTCGGTTGAGGACGGCGTTGTTGCCGTAGCGAATGCGGATCATCAGAAAGTAGAAGTCGCCGACGTGCTTCGCCTCCGCCTTGAAGATCTTCTCCGGATCGCCGCTGACTATTTTGAAACGCACCGTCAGCGCCGGATCCGATATGTAGATGCCCATCTTTCCGTCTGGGGAGGCGTACTTGTAGACAGAGTTCTCCGGAATNCCGACGTGCTTCGCCTCCGCCTTGAAGATCTTCTCCGGATCGCCGCTGACTATTTTGAAACGCACCGTCAGCGCCGGATCCGATATGTAGATGCCCATCTTTCCGTCTGGGGAGGCGTACTTGTAGACAGAGTTCTCCGGAATGCTCACATTGTAGTGTGGGTGGGTGAAGTCGAAGCTGATCACTGCAGGTGGCAAAGTCGTCTGGGAGCTCGTGGCTTCCACTGACTGGCCGGAAGTGGCTGAGCTGGTGTAAGGGTAGTGGCCACCGCTGGCGTCGGTCACTGGAATCACAGTCGAACTTCCACCGCTGCTGCTGGTCAGCTCATCTAGGTGAATCACATTTTCGTGGTCGTCAAACTTTGCCGGCTTGATGACGCTTTTTGGCGTGACACTGACGCTCGCTGCTGAGTCGGTGCCCAGTGCTGACTGACTGACGCTGAGGAGGGAGTCAGTTGAGGAGGAAGGAGGAGGAGATGATGATGACCCAAAGGAGATGATGTCATCATTTTCCTCCTGGTCGAGGTCGAGATCAGTTTCGAGGTGAGCAGGGCTTTGCTGAGCAGTTGTACCCACCTGCTGATTATCACTGCTCGATTTGGCGGTCTCATCATCGCTCATCGAGTGAAGCTTCTTCGTAATTTGCGGTAGCTGTTGCTGGCCACCAATACTGCTGCTGTCTGCGCGATTTTCTAGCAGGCGTTCGCCATTGAAGATGGGATCCTCAAGGCTCTGGAAATGATGATTGAAGTGACTCACATTGTGGGTAGTGCTGAAGGAAGTGGTGGAGGTGGTGGTGGCACTGACTGTGCTAATGGTTGTGGTGGTGGTAGTGGCCAGCACTAGAAAACTCGTCGCAAGCACAATAAGAAGAAGGTTGTGCAGCCAACGAGAAGGCAGTGTTGATGACCAGAAAGAGCTGCTGCTGTTGTTGCCACTTTTGTTTCTTGAGGTTCGTTTTTGGCAAATTTTGGCGCCGTTTACTGTTTGTAAGCTGTTGCAGTGAGGGTGCTGATTTGCTGCTGCTGTTTGCTGCCCGTAGCTCAACAGAAGTGGGCGGCGGTGGCGGATTTTTGGCCGCGGGTATCGAATTCTGCATGGCGGTAGCTGCTTTTCCGGCCAGCCATCCTCAGGACGGCGGGTGGATTTGCTTAATTTGCTGAGATCCATTACGATGTAGTGGTGTGAGGTGAGAGGTAGGGATATGCGCTCGCTCGTCTGGGGCTCAGGAGGCTCAGAAGGAACGGCGCAATCTAAGTGCAAATGAGACGAGGTAAGCTCATGGAGGAGGAAAAGGTACTCAGCTGCAACTGCCCACAACGGGAGGAAGCAGCTGCTGCACGTTGCAATTTGCTGGTTTTGAGGGTGGGCAACTGAAGGTGAGCACTAAATTGATAGGTAGATAGCTGGGGAGGCCAAAAAAGGCTGATAACGGGCGTCTGCAGCTTCGGTCTAAGGCGTCGGGAGTGTTGAAGAGGAAAAAGAAGAAAAATTGTCCCTTTCTTCAACTAAACTGTCTGCTGCTGCCAATCTGAGCAGCAGCAGCGACGGCAGTCATTGCGTGAGACCTTCAATCAGATGAAGGAAAAAATTGGCAGGCAAAATCAGGTAGGTGCCTTCTGATGAAGTGCGAGTCTTCCCAGTGGCACCTAAAGCGAGTCACCTTGCCGGCTAGCCTCAATCGATTAGGCCGATTGATGGAGACTTGATGAGCAGACTCTTTTAGGCTAAAGACCGCTTCTTTTTTTGCTGTTCAGGTGTGCGGCGGTTTGAGCTGTAGTGCCAAAGTAGGCAAAAAGCGGCAAGAAAGGGCAAAAGCAAAAACAAAAAAAAGAAGAAGAGGGTTGTCTGCTGTGCCGTGGCGGTGTTTGTGTCGGTTTTCTGTGGGGAAAAAAGAAAAACAAAAAAAACAATCAATTATGATGCAGTGTAATAATAAATTAGAAAAGGCGCTCGCATGCAGTGCAGTTTTGAGTCTGAGCAAAGACACTTGGTTGAACGCGCGGAAAAGGCTGTAAAGGACTTAAGACACTCGGGAAGATGCAAAAAATTGTTAGTCGCTTTCTGTGTGTGAATGTTTTACGCTAGTATTTACGAGAAAAAAGATGCATCTTAAACCGGTGGTGATGCAGGGTAAAAAGGGATGCGCCAAATTCAAAGCGCCCTGCCACTGAATTAGCGAATTTAGCATTAATAATGCTGGAAAAGTAGTGTTTAGGTGTTTGTGTGTGTGCACGCTTGCAGGACAATTTAATTGAAATTTAATCCGACAAAAAATGTGTCTTGCCGTTTTGGCCGTCGGGGCGGTAAGGCGCGGTCGAGATAAGAGCCAAACAAACTCTGTGGTGTTGTCTGCGTGTTGTCTGCTCTGTCTGTCTGTGTGATACTGTCTGTGAGGCCATGCTGAAGTGCAAGTGCAAGTGCACAGTGCCGGCAATTGCACACTTGCACTTTCAGCATTTCAGCAGGCACTCTCTGTCCTTATGAAGGTGTGAATTAAGAAAGGCAATTCATTGCCAAACTGAAGTGTGAATAATGGCCCCATCATTAATACCATGCCAGGGCAACTTTTCTTGGAGCAGTAATCTTGGAGGAAACTTGGGAAAGAGTGAAAACACACAATGATGATGAAACGCATTCTTTAAACGTGCGTTCGTCTGTGTAGTACCGCGTACTATTTGCTGCTTTTTTAGTGCTCCTAAAGCCGTCGCTATTAACCACTATGTCTGAAATGCAAAGATGCAAAGTTTAATTTGCCTTAATTTAGCAGCCGCAAAACTATTGGCAGCAACAACAGCAACAACAGCAAGAGCACACTACCTCTGGCAAAACACCGAGTAACTTTATGCTTGAAAGTGTTCATCTAATTTCCTTGTAGACTAAAGGATTCCTCCAAGTGAAGCAAAGGTGTCTGCAGTTTGGCGTTGAGACGCAAATTAAGCAATGCTGTACAATGCTTAGAAATGTGCATACAAAAAGCGACATGCAAATCATCGACTAAATTTATGCGTGCCTGGCTGCCTGCAGATTTGAAAACGAATATCAGAAGCCGTGTTCTAGTAAAACTTGTCATGATTTTATGAGTTCAATGAGCTGTAAATTGTGCACTATTTATTGAGTACATTAAATTAAATTAATGCGTAGGCAACCCTTGCAACAATTCAAACATGCAACTAATTCATGCAATACACTTTTTTTAAGATTAAAACCGTGAGAACCAGATTGCCGAAATTAGGTTGAGTTACTTTAACTTTAAAACATTTGCATTTTGTTCAAAAAAACTCTGTTAAAAAAATTAAAATGAATAAAAACTTAACTGTAAAACAAAAACTTTTAGCTCAAGAAACATCAGAAAGCAAATAATAAGCTTGAAAAATGTGAACAGAATCAAACTTTGTCATTAATTTAAAAAAATTATTTAAAAAAATTGTGACATTTACAAAAAGATGCGTTTTTCTAATTGGTGTCATTTTTTGCAAGTTTGTGTATGTTTATTTAATAAATTTTTTAAACTACAATTAAATTAAAAAGTTTTTATACGTTTGTTAAACTAACACATTAATTTTTTAATTTTAAAATTTGCACAAACATACCAAAGGTAGTTTATTTTTACATAATCATTTTATTTAGTTTTTAATTTAAGTTAAAAACAAATGCACTTTATGTAAACTTGAGTTTACTTTAAGGAATCGCACTTTGCAAAACTTTTTTGTTGGGTACTTTGGTTTTTGAAAAACTAAAAAGTTCATTGGTCGCAAATGCTTAATTTGATTACATCGCGCCAGAAAAAAACCATTAATTGCACTGACCAGCGTCTGACAGACAGACAAGTTGACAATGCAAATACTGCACTGTCTGGCAGCAAGTTATCACAACAAATTAGACAGATTACAAAAGCAACTAAAACAAATGCACATGATAGAATAAAAAAGAGAATAAGAGCAATAGTCAGTGAGCTAATGAGCAGAAAGTACCAGTCGGCAACGAGTGGCAGTGATAAGACACTGGGCACTGGGAAACGGTGGGAGAGACCGTAGTGCACAATACCGACACAAAGGAAAATGACAGAGAGAAGGAGATTGCCACACTGTGCACGCACTCAACAGTGGGCAAATGACAATTGCGATAGAGGAAAGAGTTCGTGCGCATCAAATCGGTTTGCAAATGAAGCTCAAACGGATTCGCACAAACACACACACAAAATACTCACTGATTGTGTTGACGTACTTGGACCTGTCTGGCACGGCTGTCGATCACTGCAACTAATGCGGCTTTAACGTCAACCAGCTTAATTTAATGCAAACTGGCGTAAAACTTTAAAACGATAAATTATTAATGAACGAAAAAAAGTGTTGCACAATTACTAGAGTTAACTGAAGGTGACAAGTGATGAACAGTGTTTACACTGTTAGTATGTTTTTATTGAATTAAAAATTAAAGTTAATTAAAATTGACTATCATTTTTTATCACAAAAATAGCAAGTAGATCACTAAACAAAAAAAGAGAGAACGCAACAAGCCAAAACAGAATTTAAAACAAAGTGGCTGGTTGAAATGAGAAAGTTTGCAACACAAGCCAACCACAAACATACACGTGTGATAAGAGTGGAATGCTTGCTTGATAAAGGCGACTGTAAACAGCACAAAAAGAGACAGAAAGAGTGAGAGTGAGAGTGGATAGTCAATGGATAACGGAAAAGATGAAAGGGAAAAAGAAGAGAGAGAGAGAGAAGAACGAATGCAAAACGACAGCAGGTTGGTGGTGAGTAGAGAAAGCAACAACAATAACAATGCAGCATCTGCAGATGCGGCCAACAACTCGACTGATGCACCGTTACATTGGACAGTTAGGACGGCAGTGTGACGGTGGTCGTCGTCGTGGTCGTCGATAAAGGGCTGCAACTACCATCCGCCGAGCATTAGCATCACCGGTCTGCCCTGTCTGCTCTGTCTGTCTGCGTGTGTGAACCGGTTGTCACTGTCATTTAGTGTCGTCGAGCATGTCTGCAGGGAAAGTGTCGCCAGTGAGTCAATGTCTGCACAGACGACAGACAACAAACCAGCAGCCACTTACAAACACACACACACACACACACACA